CTAAAGATGCTTCCAGACAAAAATAAAATAAAGCTTTAAAAAAGATAGATTTATAGAAAAAAAGGTGACCTAAAGATGCTTCCAGACAAAAATAAAATAAAGCTTTAAAAAAGATTTTAAAAAAATGGTGCCAGAATAATTAATTATTCATATGGAAAAACGTAAAATAAAATCCACAAAGCATATTTATTCCAGGTGGATTAAATACTCAAGTACTGAAATCAGAGTTATATAACTTTGAAAGGATAATATAGGGGAATATCTTTGATATTCTCAGAGATTAGGATGATTTCTTAAATAGCTCTTCTTAAATAAGTTAATAAAAATTAACTAATTGCTATAGTCTGAATGTTTGTGTCTCCCCCAAATTCATATGTTGAAACCTAATCCCTAATGTGATAATATTAAGAAGTAGAGCCTCTGGGAGGTGAATAAGAGGCGGGGCCTTTGGCTCTGTACTCATGATTCCAGTGAGTACCCGTATAAAAGAGACTGCAGAGAGCTGCCTTGCCCCTTCTGCCACGTGAGGATGCAGCAGCAGGAAGGCGCAATCCACGAGGAATGGGCCCTCACCAGACACTCGGTCTGCTGGTGTCTTGATATTGGGCTTCATCTTCACGGTTCTCTAGCACTGTGAGAAATAAATGTTTATAAGCCACACAGTTTATGGTATTATAGCAGCCCAAACAGTCTAAGACAGAAATTAAAGATAAATACATTTGACTACTAAAATTAAGAACATATTTATCAAGAGATAACATGAAAAAAATGATCACAAGCCACAAATAGGAAGGTGTATGCAAAGCACACACCAAACCCACACCTAGAGTTATATAAAGAACTCACACAAAAATCAGTAAAAGCGGGCCGGCCCGGTGGCACACTAGAGAGTGCGCCGCTTGGGGCTCCCGCCATGGGTTCAGATCCCATGTGGAGACCGGTTCCCGCTCACTGGCTGAGCGTGGTGCAGGCGTAACACAAGGGAGGTTTAGAACAGATCCTTCTGTCACA